TGTATAGATTACCCGATAAAATTAAAATCTGCGAAAATAGATATTATCTGGCCCTTTCCTTCTTGTAACCGCCTCACGGACATTCAACAGGTAATCGCATCGACGAATTGCTACAACAAAGAAATTTTTGTGGCACCCTTAAATGTCAAAATTGGCATCTACGACGAAAAAAATAGATTCGCCATGACATTTTAAGTTTGCGGCAAATTTGTTTCAGCCAATCAGAAACGAGGTGTTTCTTTACATTTTATTTTGTGTGCCTCTCGTCGTAATCACCACAAGAACGGTGATATTCCTGTTGCGGTTCCCTCTTCGTTCGATGTTAAACCCTTTCCAGAGGATGCTCCACCATCTTGGCCCCTCTATTGGAAAAGAAAGTAAAACCTGACCGGCCGCCTAAAAACTATAAACGTACTCTTAAATTATATGAAATATTAGAAAAAGATACTTTTAATGAAGAAGACATAAACAAATTTTGTGTTGCATTCATTTAGGGGCGAATTCAGCATTACAACTACTTGTTGTGACATCTAAAGGTGCCGTCAGCTGGGGTAATGCGACTATCTATTAGATCTACCTTGCTCACTACTGAACTTGCAAGAATCTACAAGTTTTTTTTCATGGTAGAAGAATACAGGTAGATGCTTCAACACTCGCGAACATTACACATGTGAAAAATATTTACAAATGTCTCCAAAAATAAGTGCATTTTTAAAGATTTTCTTATACGGTTGGTATAATATGTGATTTTCAAAAAATTTCACTAATTTAAATAATTTTTATTCAAAATGTAGAATTCTACAAATGTCTTGACAGTTTATTGTACTAGCAGCTATGTTGATGCGCCTACCTGTACCATTTTATTATGAGTTTTTTATACCATTAAGGAAAAATCAGTTATCGTAGCAATATATATTATTTTTATATTCTTGCGGGTTCTGGAACAAAGCAATTGCTTTGATTTAGGGATAAATTTTTCTCCGAAAATGTCTTTCTTTATCATGTTATTTTTGGTGTTCCTTTAACTGTTTTCAAATTGCAGATTAACTCATAGATACGTCTTATATTTTAATTACGAATAAAGCATTTCTTATACATTTCCACTATATAATAACAGCGAAGTTATGCCGTATGAACATGTTATACATATTCAAAAGTAACGGAATTAATCGATGTGCGCTACAAATCGAATTGATACAAAAATAACATATCGATACTAACATCGATAGTTTGCCAGCGCTAATACTCATATTTGCGAAAAATTAGCAGATTGATTTTTCAAATAGACTTGTTTTGTTGAAGATTACCGGTAGGAAGTCGAAAGAAACATGTTTGCTCTCAGCCGTAATGTCAGCAATGTAGCCAAGTAAGTTTGATAATAAACTGATAATTAGGAGTAGTGTCAAAACAGTAAGGGCATTTTGGGAAACGGGACTATGTGATTACATAAATCCGAAGCCCTAGAACCCGAAAGTGCCTGTGTATTCGTAATGTGTGCTGCATGCATGTGCATAAAATTCTATAATTTTCTTTCAACAGAAATGCCGTACGAGGCAAACACACTTTGCCCAAGCTGCCATACGACTATGCAGCTTTGGAACCCATTGTATGTCGGGAAATTATGGAATTACATCATACCAAACATCACCAGACCTATGTCAACAACTTGAATGCTGCCGAAGAACAATTGGCCGAAGCCCAGAGCAAAAATGATGTCACCAAGATCATCTCTTTGGCTCCTGCTTTGCGTTTCAATGGTGGTGGACACATCAACCACTCAATCTTCTGGCAAAACTTGACCAGCGAAAGAACTGAACCTTCTGCTGATTTGAAGAAGGCAATTGAATCCCAATGGAAGAGTTTGGATGCTTTCAAAAAAGAAATGACCGCTCTTACCGTTGCTGTTCAAGGTTCTGGCTGGGGATGGTTGGGTTACAACAAGAAAACTCAAAAATTGCAAATTGTTGCCATGTCAAATCAAGATCCTTTGGAAGCTAGCACTGGTGAGTATAAAAGTGATGTTCAAATGATTGAAATCCGTTGTAATGAATGTATCTGTTCCACACAAAAGGTTTGGTACCATTGTTTGGCATTGATGTCTGGGAACATGCCTACTATTTGCAATACAAAAACCTACGCCCCTCTTATGTGGAAGCTGTATGGGACATTGCCAACTGGAATGATATCTCCAAACGTTTCGCCGACGCCAAGTAAGAAGCAGCGCAGGCGTTGTTTTCGAATAAAGCACTGTCAATATCATCTTAAACCAGTTATAGGATAAACAAGTAATGTTTGTAACACATTATGTGATCATTCGAAGAATTAAAATATATACATATTAGCAAATACTACAAAGAAGTTTTGAATGGTGATATAACCAAGGGTAATGGTTAATTGGGAATAATAGTAGAATATTATTAGAGTTTTCGGATCTTAAATTGAGACCTTTTTATGAATATAAGCGTGGATAAATGTATATACATACTGTATGTTGAATACATTATAGATTTAGCTTACTTTTTTGAAGTGACTTTCTAGTCCTTAGGCTAGAGCAGCTAGCCAGGGTCTAATGGTAGGAGTAGAAATGTATTTCTTTTGAGACAGAAAGAGAATTACAGTGGTTTTGATAATGCGCCCTATGGTTGAGGTAATATTGGCATGAACTTATAAACTTACTTATTCAGGAAGATATCATTTCGACTAAAATGTTTGTCTTATTACCTCAGGTATATATAAATCTTATTAATCTATTCGATTGGACTCGTATTAATTAGCTCTCCTTTAAGTAGAGACATAAATTGTTTTGTGAAATAAATTCCTGTATTAAATATAAAACAGATGGAATATATACTATTTGTGCAATAAATCTACTATGTGTGAAAAACTTTTATATTGATCCAGCCATCCTTCCACTTCTCCAACAGGGGATGAATATTCTCCAAGCGAATCTCGTAATATATATATTAGCGTTCGAAAATCGGGTGTCTTCACGAAATATAACCGAAAAATCTGGCATACTTTCTACTGTTTTATATTCATCAAACCCACACAATATATACAAATATGGACCAAATGGATGATGAATTGTACGTATAAAATTTACGTTTTCCGAGCTACCATATCTAAGAGAATGTGTGGGTTATCAATTCGTTTATAAAATTTGCAAACTAACTTGTATGAATCGTTACAAACAAATTCTATACGGATTGCTTTAGTCCCCGGTCATGGTAGAATTACAAGGTAACCCTTTCAGGCCAGCTGGTATCAATTTGATATGTCAAAAAATTGTTGTAATTTGAATTCGCCTTCATTTACACATAAGAAAATTGTTGCATGATTTCAAACTTTAACAATGCTATTGATAGAAAATCGAGATTTTACATTTTTATAGAGTATGAGGGAAAAAGTGTATATTCAACATATGGTAGGCATAGGTAATATGGAGATCTAAAATTCGTGGATATTTGAAATAAGTGAAACAGGGAATCAATTTCATTTAGGAAATAAACCGATACATGGAATTTCATCATCTTATTTGTACGGATTTTCAACTATGTTATACACTATAGGTCTTCAACAGTGAAAGGTGAATGATCCAAATCTTAAGTAAGCCTGAGGAGTAAATATACCTCATATAAATATATAAAGTACCTTTTAGGTAGCATGTCACTACAGCGAGAAAGCTGACGATGTAGCAAAAGAAAAAAGGGTACACCCCAGAACCACCACAAAACCTAATTTTAAAGCATCAAAAATAATTTTCCGGATATTTCCTTTAAAGAACATTATCGCTGTTGAATATGAAATCAACGTTGCCAACGTTACCAAGACTGTATGCTGTGTAAGGATGATGAAGAGATAACAACGATTGGACATCTATTATCGCAAATGTCCTTCGTTGGCGCGCTGGAGACTACAATCACTCCATTTCCAGTCTATGTGATTTTCAAAAATGTTGTATTGAACGTGCTATAATCAAACCAAGATGCAGCGGCTTCAGCATTACTTTCAATCGATGTTGGAAGTTTTGAATATTTGCTTTTGTAATAGAAAAAACAACAATTTTGAAAATTTTTAATTCAATATTTTGATTGGAAAAATAATTTGCCCCAAATTTTGTACTTCAAATCAATTCGCCCTGACTACAACTTTGACATATCAAGTTTCCAAAAAAGTTGCTTTATTGTAATTTTCGCCTATGTTGCTACCTGGTATTTCTACCATGTCCCCGGTCGTTGTTTGACAAATATTTCTACATGTGAAATTAAACACTGAATTCCACCATGTTAAGGCTTTGCCTGACGTACTGCAGTCTCTTGACTCATTTCATTTTTATTTAAAATAGAAATGCAAAATATTTCTACAAATTGAAGGAACAAGTTGAGTTTAGGGGCTATTTATCGCAGGTGGGTATTTTTACCATGATTAAGGAAAAGTAATTTTTTCGTGGGGAAAATGTCCGGTTATTTGACCCGAAAGTTAGAAAACAACATCCGGTTTGTATCCGGTTCTACAAAACTGTTATCTACAAAATGGGTATCATTTGAAAGCTTATGGAATTGCCTATTGCCATCTGATAGGGTTATCCGAAGTAATGCGTAAATGCAAAATTGTTATTTCTATACTAGTACTTTTTGAAAAACCCCTAAACATTTGAAAATGGACCCATTATGGGATACTAAGATCTACATGCTTTCCAAAATGGTATCATATGTGCTGATTTCTCTTATTAGTCCAAAGATATTTGTAATGTAAATCATGAAATTAAGATTTTCTCCACCACCCAAATCCATACGAGTTTGACAGCAATATTGCAATGACCCATATCGTATTCCGGACGGATATTTCTAGATCGAATCCAAATATACTGACATGGACTTTTTCCCTTTATGATATCGAAGGAAATTGCAAAACTAGTAGATTCGTGCATATACTGGAACAGAGCCAAAGTCTTCTTCATACATAAGTTTATACACACCAACTTGTTTAAAAAATAAAACTTATTTCAATATTTTAGATAAACAAGAAATTATAGATCTTTATTGTCAAACATATAAAAACGAGTTATATACTACCTCAAGTCCACCAATAGAAAAAATAGGTTCAGACCATTCCCCGATGTTTTACCATCTTTATGGAATAGTCGTCATAAGTTCTATTGGATTATTGCATTTAGAATATAACAAGAATTTTAACAGTCAACAGGAAATACAATTTCTAGCAATTCTGGATTCTCACAAAGGACAGCTTCTCTTTTCGACGATTCTGCGACATGTCCCACAACCCAAGCACTTTGTTCTCCATTGGTAATTTTATTAAATTCCTCACAAAAGCCCTCCGAAGCGGAAGCAGGCATGGCTATTAAAAGACCACCAGAGGTTTCAACAGATTTTCCAGCTTTTAACTTAGCATATGTGTAGTTTAGTTTTTCGGCAAATCCCAAAATATTTTTAATTATAGGCAATTTTTCGATTACAAATTTCAATTCGTCCTTCTGAAATTCGGCCAGGTTTTGTGCGTGGCCAAGCAGACCAAATCCAGTCACATCAGTGGCAGCATGAGCTTCGTATTTGTGCATAAGTAAGGCAGCATTCCGATTTAGATATGTCATAGATTTCACAGCCATTTTAAAAGCCAAAATGATATCTTCCTCCGTAAAGTGCTTCAAAAGTTCTGTGTGCTTTTCGGTTTTGTCACAAAGCCAAAGATAAGCATTTGTTGCCAATTGTGTTCCCAAGGGCTTGGTTAATACCAAATGGTCTCCTGCTTTAGCGTTACTGGGCATTATAACTTCATCTTTGCTAACCACTGCCGAAGCAATGCCACCAAGCATGCACCAAGGATTAATAACGGAATGTTTAATCGTTGGACTGCATTTTGCATTGCTAGCAGCATCTCGAAAGCCCTTCATTATCAAGGGCATAATGATGTTGCGTTCCTCTTCGGCTAACTCAGTCGGAGCACTCAACACCATGTCGATCTTATCAAATTCAGTGACGCCTACGGCATAAACATCGCTCACAACATTAGCCAAAGCAATCTTGCCCATTGTGTAAGGATCATTGACCAGGGGATAGAAGAAATCGACAGTTTGAATTAAACGTATGTTGGGGTGTCTTTTCAAGGGGATTACAGCACAGTCCATTCCAGATCCAATATAATCATCGCCATGTTCTTCTCGGTCTATTGTGGGGTTGACTCTTAAAATTTCTGTACCCAATAGATACTTGTTTAAAGTATCCTGGGGTATTTTACAGCCTCACCCACGCAATGTTGAAAACTTAGTTAGTTGGAAGTCTGGCCGGAGGCCGTGTTTTTCGGGATTGAACATATTACCGGTGGGACTGTAAATAAACATAAGGAAATGAGTTTTAATGAAGTTGATTTTGTTGGGATGTTCGAATTTATAAAAAATAGTACTTTATAGACGTTGTCTATTACTTCCAATCGTTCTAAGGCGATTTTTAGCTGAATAGGATGAAATGAATAATTTACTAAAATAATGAAGTTAATGGAAAATTTTAGAAAACAGGGCGAAGTACGACTTGCCCCATAATCAATGACAAATATGTTTACATTGCTATTATCAGTTGTGTAGGCTGTATGTTTGCTTTTCAGTGTAGATTCGTGTGTTTTCTCTCATCAGAATATATAATTAATATAATTATATTTGATTAAAAATATTGGATTCAGTCCTAATTTACTGAGTAATTTCTAGATATTACTTTAATGGCTCTACGCAAAACGAGAGACACACGCACCCACCTGTTGTAGAAAAAATTATTTGACTAATGATAACATTCTAGAGAAGTTAGGAAAACAAATAAATAATAAAATCACACATGATGATTATCGGACAGTGCCGATTCAACACACTAAATTCTATGCTGCATAATAGAGATGGTAAAATGAAAGTTTTGAATATTCATTAAAGCGTACGAAATTTGAACCAATTTTTAACATTTTGCAAGACATGTTTGAAAGGAATACTTCTTGTATTATCCAAAAATGGAAGATATTTGATAAAAGCAAATATTGGCTTCAATTCTGATTAATCGATCCAGGCATAGTGAGTCTCAGTAACGTGATCCGTTACCATACAATTAATATAACATACAATGTATTTTGACAATTCGGCGGATATTATCTCTTCGTAAGATTTGTCAAATGTGACACAGTAGTAAATTTTCCATCTCTATTACATATCAGGGATATGTAGATCGACATAATCGATTTTTGGATAAATGGGTAAACAAATGAATTAGAAAATTATTTTATTGTGAAAACAAAGCATGTTCACACGGTAAATTGAATGACGTTGTTTGCTCTCAGAATCACGTACACGAACTAACCTGTTCCCACGATACGTTCGTAGTTACATCTGACAACTTCATTTATGGTTATACACAATTTTTCGTTTTTTTTTTATTTAAAGAAAAATTAATAAAAATGGCTCAATTCGAAAAAAAAATGTGAGTAAAAATACTAATATAACCAAGAATAATGTTTTATTGTTTTAGGTATCCGAAAAACTCCCAACAAATGGAGTATAATAAGTGAACGGGCTTTGTTGGAAGTGTGGGGATTATTTATGAGCCAGCTACGTGGATGTCGAAAAAATAGCCACATTCTTCAAGAAATGGCGTCCGAACTCGGGAAACATGGGTTTTCGTATACATCTCACGAAATAAAAACCAAGATGCACAACATGGCTGCGAGATTTAGGTATGTTTTTGAACATTTCAATTTGCATGAAGTTTCATTGCCTCCGACTTCGATCATGCTGGGAGGAGCTTCTGCGGATGTGTTTGTTTGCATCAAAATTCGTTCGTTATTATCCAAGGATAGGTACAATATTCTCGGAACTTGTCATTTTAAGTTAAGAATGACAGAAAGTTTGTCTTCCAACACGCTCGTTGTAGATACATATTGCAAGATGATAGCTTATTTACTTTTGAATATTTACAATATGTAACGTATGTTTTTATTTACTTTATAAAAACCATGTTTTTTATAGGAAGGAAAAGCGCCTAGTTGGTACAACCGGAGGTTCACCATCAGATTGGGAGCTATATAAAGAAATGGAAATGTTGCTAGCACCTTGCAAGACCTACAATACTGAGTTCCTCGTTTTGGACAGTGTCAATGGTAAGAATCAAATTAATAAAAAAATATATATTTGTTATTCTCACGTTGTATATTGCACAGATATTGATGCCATATTGACATGCGAAATGTCCAACTCCCCACCCTCTTCACCAATCATTCCTAGTTCCTCTTCACAATTAAATACAACTGACCTATCGTCGGAATTACCATTTACATCATCGTCGAAAAAGAGAAAAAGGGAAAAAGAGCATGCTGAAAAGGTGGAAAGAAAAATTGACATTTTAATAGAGATAGAACAAAGAAAGGAGGCTATAGAAGAGAAGAAAGAGGCTTTGTTAAGAAGCATTGTGGAAAGGGAAGCGGAAGTACAAAAGGCTTTGGTAGATTTTTTAAGAAATGCTTAAAATTGAATATATATTTATGATATGTAACGACTTTTTTTTAAACTGCTTATATTTCCTTTAATTATAGTTTGCTCTTACTATCTTAATTAAATACTTTGATTAGTTTTAATTTTTATCGTTTCAATGTTATACATTTTATTTATCATTCAATGTAACATTTGTTTTTTTCTAAAATTAAAAATATATACAAAAATTATTTTGAGTATGTATATATATATATATATATATATATATATATATATATATATATATATATATACCTTTTTTTCATTTTCAAAAACAATTAAACAAATTCTTCAAAATGCAGCTTAAATATGTACATAGTTATCTAAAAATAACATAAACTATATTAATGAAACAATGAATTCTGACGAAATAAATGAATAATGAAAATGAATAATACTAATATACTAATTTATATCTTGAAAATTACAGACGGTTTCTCCAGAAGGGAACGTATATTCTTCCTCCACATTTAAAAATGAATTAGCTTCATCAATATTGTACAAGTTATCCTCTTCGTTACAACAATTTTTTTGCGCTTAAAAAATAGTAAAGAATGTATATTTAAAAAATGAATGCCTACATATATTTAATGTGCTTATGTCAACTCTTGTTTGACAATAGCATTTTACTAAGAACAATAATACGTACATAAATATATTGAAATAGCATTTCGTATTTCTTCGCCATTATGGCCGCTGCTTTGATCTGCAAGAATTATTATTTCTTCAGGATAGGATCTATTTGCCTCAACTGATTGTAATGCTTTCAACCACTTGTCGTTAACAACATCATTGTGCTCGCTGAGAAAATTATGAAGAGCACAACAAGATAATATGACTGCATTGGCATACTTTAGAGAATTATCTATGCCTTTTCCGATTCGTCGGAAACGTGCCTTAAGGTGGCCAAAGGCATTTTCAACTACTCTGCGTGATTTTGACAATGCGTAATTAAAGCATTTTTGCTCGAGATTTTGTGACAGTTGAAATGGATAAGGTTTCATCAACTTGTCGCTTAATTTGAATGCCGAATCGCCGATCATAAGGGCAGGAACCTCAACGCCCAAATATTTCGATTTACTTCCTTTAAATGACTGCATTCGTTAAGCTGCTGTTTGAGGGAAGAACCTTCAAAGATCTGAGAATCGTTGCAACGTCCTGGACTCCTACAACTAACATAAATGAAACGACATCTAAAATAAAAAAGTATGTAGAAAGCAGTTATAAAAGGATAAAAGTCGGACCGGCCGACTTGATGATACGTTACAATACTGTTGTTATGTTCACCAAATATAATAGGTTTACTTTTTGGCTTAATTCGGCCACTTGTGTCCAATTTCATCCCATTTGATGCACACTAAACCTGAAGTCGGATGAAGACCCATGAGAAGTAGGCGTCTATCTCACGACACAATACCTTGCACCATAGTGGGGCGTAGGATATAAAAAGTAAAGAAAATGTAAAAGTTAGTACTTACCTCGCATCTACCAATGCAAGGAGTACGACTGAGTACCATCCCTTGTAGTTGTAGTAATCTGTAGCGTCTTCCTTGGATGGATGAACCTCAATGTGGCAACCGTCTGCAAACGTTAACATAATAATAATAATAATTTAAATACAACTTTTCAAAACTCACCCAGATCACCTATACATTGCGGAAACCCTAGTATTTCAAATTCTTGACAGAGTACTTCTATCTTTTCTCTTGTTAAGGGGAAATTTTTTAAATAAATTGGAGCAAGAATTCTCCAGACCTCATTACAAAACTGCAAGAGTATTTTACACACTGTACTTTTTCCAACTCCAAACATGTTTGCTATTGTGCGGCACCAGAGTTAGCAGCTTCCTTACATCGCAACTGTCTTTTTCAAACAAGGTGAAAGACGCGAGCCTTCTTCGACTTATAATTAGTTTTTTCACAAATTTCTTTTTCTTCTCCATTGTACACTCCTATGAAAAAATAACTAATATAGGTTATATGAAAAACGCGTTTTTGTTCGCTCACATTTAATTTATCGTTTCCATTGAATTCACACACATTTTTATTAATTAAAAATTCTTCAATTACTTTCGCAACGGACACAATAATTTGTTTATTTTTTGACAAGCGGTTGACAAATATGACACATTTTCGATAAATGCTCTCATTTTTTAGTGATGGGACATATTTTTTCGTTGTTCTGAGAGTGATTTGATTTGAACAATGTAAAAATATGAGTGTTCGCTCAGGAAATTTTGTGTGGAGAATTAAGTAGTTTTTCCGTAGTTTAGGGCCAAACAACGAATAGAGAGCGAATCAAGTGCCGTGGAAACGCCACATAAAATGGTAAAGACTAGACAAAATGCATTCTGAGCAAATGGTTTGTGTCTATACTGTCTGGGTAACAGCTTATGGCAGGACCATGTTAATATAAAAAAATATATTTATAGAAAAAAATGACAAACAAAAGTTTGAAAAATCCAAAAATTGGGTTTCAAAATTCTATTCCATAGACGTTACAAATTAATTGCATATTGCCTAAGCGGTTTAAATCGCATAACATTTCTAACTATGTTGTTACGATATCATAACAACAGAGGTGTTTTCGCAGGGTTGCCATATCTTGACTCTGTCTTGTCCCATATTTATACTTCTATGTCTTTGGTGAAAATACTGGAAATTTTCTGAAGATTCCTTTTGTTTAATTTTATATAAAATTGTATCTAGAAGAAGAAGAAATTTGCTAATTAAATTTGTCTTGAAAAAGTGCTAGGAACAAGATAAAAAGAGAATGATAACAATACCACGAACAATCTCGGCTAGTCTAAATCTGGTCTAAGGGAAATGGAAATGTACAAGAATTGCTCATACTGACATTTTTTTGCAATTTCCTTTGGCAAGAATGTTTAAAAAATAACATTTTTATTGATATTAAACAATAAACCCCCTGGTAAACATTACCATCCACTAATAAACAAGCGTGGTTTTTATAAAAAATACGAAATTCATAAAAAATCTGCAAATGCACACTTAGCCTGTTCCAGAACTGCAAGAATGTAAAACTTTTGACTACGTTAACCGATTTTCCCTTTGTGAAATCGAACAAAATTGTAAAAATCATGGTAGAAGAATACAAATGCATCAAGGCTTGGGAACATTGAAAAATTTTTAATTTCTTTTGAAATATAAGTAGATTTTTATATGTTTTCTTATACGACGTCATTCGGATGTTATTATATAAATTAAAAGATCGTGGTAGTCACAAGTTAATTTGTGCATATTATTCAGTTGTGAACACTTTAGAGGAATACAGGTAGATGCATCAACGCTTAGGAACATTCATGGTAGAAGAATATAGGTAGACACATCGACACAGCTGCTGGGACAAATAACCTCCGAATGTCGTATAAGAAAACATAAAAATCTACTTATATTTGAAAAGACATTTCAATATTTTTTTTATTAAAAATTTCAATTCCAAAATTATTTTGAAAGTTCGTTGTACCAGCAGCTGTGTCGATGTGACTATCATTATTCTGCTATCATGGTTGTGAACATCATTGTTCAAATGTACGTGAGAGCATGATATACACAACTATAAGTTTTATCAGTGACTGTAAAACTGTAATTTAAAACGATAATCGATTTTCTCAAAGACTGCAAAATTTAAACTATAGATACCTATAAAAAACAAAACAAAATTAATCAGCTGTTTGTTTTGCATTTCTAAGCCCCTACAGCAGACCGCTTTCGATCTTTAGAGCTCTAATATAGTCGGTGTTTTTGTTTTGATTTTCACCTTCGTCTCGCATTGTTATTTGTTTGTTACATTGACTGCGGTAGTTTCCCAACAGGAGCTTTGTGATCTGGTTCAGCTCTACCATTCTTGTGGAAGTTATAAAAGTTTATAAAGAAAAAGTTGCGTATTTCTATACGATAAATACGATGAAAATGTATATATGTGGATAAATTCGGATGCGGAAAGGATTTTTGAACGAGCCTATCATCTGACATCAATATTTGAGCAAATGAGCCCAAGTAATTCGTAACAACAATAGACTCATAATCATCAAAACAACACAAAAAGGAATCAATTCCAACGGCACAAAGAAGAACTTGCGCAGAACTTATCACAAATATGAAAGTAATGTGGATCTTAAATTTGAATGGAAGGTTCAGTACGGGCCACCAGTGACATACACACTTGTTACAATCTCCACACAATATGGACTCTATTTTAACAAAACAATGAAAGAAATGCGCAAAATATTACAATACGCGTTGTGAGTAGAAAGTGTGTGTGTGGAAGAAAATCTATCAATTTCCTTAAATTCCACAAGTCACACGGTCCACAGGCACACATCCATATACTCAGGATATGAATCAAAGAGAGAAAGGATACGAATACACTTGTCCAGTATTCAGAACTACGTTGCTCGTCTTTGAAAACGGTCTGCGGTTACGGTTCTGTGGAGTGAAATCATTGTTGTTATTATTTTGATTGAAATTAAAAATTATTAAAAAATATATAAAAAAAAGGATATTCCCAATAAGACAATTTCAAAAAGGACTCGTGGATTTTTCCGTACTACAGTGTAAATAAAAGTAAACTATTGCAAAAGAGATAAGAGAAATACAATTTTGACGGATTTTTAATTACTTTGCATTCGCAAATAAAGTGTTGGACTTTTTGAAGTCGATAAAATAAATCCATCCATTTGGATACGGATATTCTGGTCGTACAGGGTAAGTTTTAGCATACATTTTCCGAAAATTGTTTGAAATATCTATTTGAAAGGAATTTATGAAAATTTTTCATCTTACCTTGGTGAAAAATCGATTTTCCTTCTCCTTTCTTGCACTGTTGCTACGCATTCCACATTCCAATTAGAAAATAGTTTCTCTTCTGCATATTTTTCTCATGTTGTTCGGTGGATTTTGTTCTAGTGGAAGGCATTTTCCGGTATGTCAACCACTCGAATTTCACAGGACACAATCTTTATGAAACTTTTTGTATTTTTTCCACTTGATTCTACAATAAAATAATATTTACTTCTTTTTTGTTATTGGCAAAAGAATTTTTCTGTCATTTGAGTGTGTATGTGTGTCTGTAAA